TATTTTTTATTTTGGTAAAGTGCAAACTAATTTGATTATTCGAGTTTGAACTTACTGGATATCATTAGTTTCTTCAGCCTTCATTGAATTTCTACAACCGTTGCTTTGTAGAACATATAATTCATTTTTTGGGGATAATATGTCTTTTTGTGGAATTAGTGTTCTTTTATATGATTTTTTATTTTAATTCATGTATAGTTTTTCTAATTCTTCTTTTAATCATGAAATGCGATCTTGATCTAAATATGTATTTTTATTATTCATATTTTGTTTGATTAATCATGAGAAATGACGAAAATGAATAATCTTATTGAATTAATATTTATAGAACTTGAAGTTACCGATTAAATGTAATGGGCTAAAAACTCGGGAGAGATTGATACGACTGGACTCTTGTAGATAATTGTTTTAGTTTATACTTTGAACCTTAGCTTTGATGGCTTCTGATTGGTATAGTATGTCCGTCTTCATAAACGTGATGTCTATTATGCAAGAGAGAATTGATGGAGTGCAGTGGTTTTGCTCTATGTACTGGTCTTATTCTATGATCAAGATCAAGGCAGGGGTGTTGCAAGTTTGTCCATGCAGTATTTCTTTTGTATGCGGCCTAAAGGCTAAAATTGTTTCCTCTAATAATTCCATGGAGATGAGAAGTCTTTTTCTCTTTATAGTGGTACTCCATTAGATACTAATTAGACCTTTGCCAAAGATATCTAATCAATTGGGCAAAAGAAGGCACGAGATATATGGAACTGATAGTATATTTTAATTGATTTAGAAGAAAACCTTAATTGTCATTCTAATGGGACTTCGTTTTTCCAAATATCAATTTGAGATGCTTATACCTGGCAAGTCAGTGGAGAATTTGCATACTTTCCACAAGTTCTTTTGGATTTAGATAGAGGCATCTAGGGTCCCATAAGGTGAACAATGCCTACTGCTTGCTAAACTTTTGTGATCGTATCACTAGCTGGAAGCATTCACAAAGATAGTCCTGCTAGGTACCTTATTTATCAGCAGGTGGTTGATAGCTAGGACTTCAACTCATATGGTAGTTGTTGTGGCAATGATGACATTATGGCTAGGTACTTTATACAAACATTTGCCCGGTAAACAGGCTTTTAAAAGGGGAAGTTGGCCAAATACCAATTCACATTTCTACGGGAGAAACTCTCTGTATTTGTTGATGCTGCAGTGTTACATTCCGCTTTTGGTTTGCAAGTCTTTCTTTTCAGATCTTTGACATTGAGAAAGAGTTCCTTTTATACATTTCATCTTACAAAAAAAGGTGTCTTTTATACAATTCAAAATCTGTAACATCAAAGTACTAGATGCTTCAGAGCTTATTTTCTGTTAACACTACTTAAATGAATGATGCTTTCAGGAATACAAGTTTGCTGGACAAGACACCATGATCTTAGCTGGAGTGAGCATGGAAGTGAAAGTTCCCAAGACTTAGGCTGCCTAGGGTCCCATATTCTGGTTAGTTACATTGCTACTGGAAATTTTATTGATTTCTTTATGTTTCTTCTCTGTAGCATATTGTAATGATGTAAACCCTGTGGTAGGGAGTGAAAGATGTAATTGCCAAAAGCTTCGAGAAGATTCACCATGGCAAAGGCAGGAATAGGAATTTATCCTCTAATTAAGTTTTAACGCCGGTGAGCATGAGAAGATTGGACAGTGCCTCTGTGAGATCTGTCAAATTTTATCTCATATTTCTCTTTAGTAAAGCGTCTTGCATTCCAGATATGGATGGAAGTTGAACGCTGCTTTGGAGTGATTTTCTGTCACCTTGGTTAAGGCTCCTCCTCTATACCCGAGTGTAAAGCTATTTTCCTTTAGAGCATGTTCATGAAATTTGCACTTCTGGCTTCTCATATCAAATGTATATGCACTACAGTATTAATTGTTTCATTAGTTTTATCCACGAGGCAGGCAAATCAAAGCTCGGATCTCTTCTGTTGTTTCATCATTTTGAAAAAAAGATTTCAAAGATACACCACCAACATATTCCCGTGCTTAGCAGGGGCAAGGGCAGTCTAGTAATAATGATATGGAAGAAGCCTATACCTGTTTTATGGCATTGAAATTCGTTGGAAGAGGGACATTTTGCATGTTGCTGTAAC